TGTGTATCACTTTAATTTTCAAATTATGATTGAAAAATAAAAAGTAAAATGTGTGTGTATTACTTTAAGACCCACTATTCTGAATGTGTATCACTTTAAGACCCACTAATAGACCTCATTTTCAAATTATGATTGGAAAATAAAAAAAGTAAACCTTAATTATCAATTCCATAAATTTAGCATATAATCCTTCAAAAAAAGGAAATAAATCAAATGTTAAAATATTTATTAAAAAATCAAAAATTGAATATTCGGCTATTTAAAATTTTAAATAGTATATTCTTGTAATTTTTCCCAAATTCAATATCAATTTCTTTGGTAGACGATTGATTATTTTGGCTATCATATTTTATGAAAGACTTATAGAATTGAGGTCTCGTTTTATTATTTTTAAATAACAACTCCCCATAAGAAAAAGTATATAAAATTAGATAGTTGGTCGTTGGATGCAGTTCACACTTCAACTAATCACATGCACATTTAAATAAGAACAAAAATTAGAAATAAATATAATCTAATTGTCACGTGTATACGTCATTAAATATATAATTGCAAAATCATATTATATTATAAGTGGGAAGCTTCAAGATATAAAGTTGAATTACCAATTTATTCATATACTAAATAAAAATGTTATATTCATATTTGATTATTTTATTTTTGAAAAATATTGAGCAGTAAACTTTTTTTACTATTAATGAATTGAGAATATTCGAAGAGTTATGAAAATTAAATAATCTAAATGTGAAAAAAAATGAAGAGACAAATGTTAGTTAATGAGAGCAAATAGGTAGAGATTTAAGTTGCACATTAACTAAAATATAGAAGCAATTACCTTTACATTGCTAGAATCTTAAAAGTTGTGGATTTCAATACAATGAATCTCATAGTTAATATATTATATATGTTATTTTCAATGATAAATACATGAAAAGAAGCTAAAGGGACTAATTAATCATTTAAAGTGAAAGTAATTATATAAAGCCAAGAATAGTTTTTATTTTCCTCAAGCTCCCTCTCCATTTTTATGGGCTCTAAAGAAGAGTATATCATTTTTCTGAACAGTTTTTTCTCAATCAATATCAAAGTTAAAGGCTATTAAAATACGCTATGAACGTTGTTGGATTTGTGCAAGAATTTCAGCTATGAATGTTGTTGGATTCGTCAAAGAATTTTCTTAGTGAAGAATACACTCATGACACTTATTATTTGATTTCCTTGCCAGGGCTTAATATTTGCAACACACAACATTAATTTTACGGTGAAAGATTTCTATATGTTACTGATTGTACATATATTTCATTAACGTAGCACATAACATTTCACTTATTCATGTAAATATTGTAGTTGCATAGTTTTTTGGATTTTGGATCTTAGAAACAAAAACACCATATAGGATGCTTATCAATTTTAAAAATATATAATTTATATTTTCTATTTTATAACACATAATATAACTTAAAAATATTGCTAATATACAATCTTCACAAAAATATTTTTATTTATATGGCCACACGCGCGTGGCGCGTACCCAGAAACTAATTAAGAAATAAATACAAGTCTTAATCTTTGTTCTCAAAAAGCACAAGAGGGCCTCCGATCACAAGCAACTACCTCTTTCAGTCCTTGACAAGTCTTAAGATCAAAGAAAAAGAAGGAGATTACACGAGCCGGGGCACGGAACCTGTACAAGGATAGAAGTAAGGGGTGAGTACCAACAATATCGTACCCAGCAAACAACATACTAAACAAAGCAACTAGCTAGAAAACGAACACCCCCCTACTCTCCTGAATTGATTAACTTGAAAAACTTTTCCTTCTTCTCTTTTACTGAACAAAAATCGTGCACATAGCAAACCTTGATCCTAGCAGACATCCACCAAAGACTCTCGGACTGGCTATGATCCACCATTATACCAGGTTTGGCCTATTTTTGTATAAAATCATGCACCTTTTATGTACAAGATTGACACATTATGTATAACACTATAATTTTGTATGATATTGCATATTAAGTAAACTGTTTTAACAATGAAAAAACAAAGAGTTATCCCAACATCAACTATAACATTGTAGACAAAATAAAAAACCAAATGAGAAAGAAGAGTTATAGCTGCAGATGTTGACATTACCCAACAATCTCTAAATCAAGTTCAAATCACCTCGCCTTGTGTACCGTCTTCCAGTCCTACAAGCCATCTATAATGCCTAAATTTCCAGGCTTAACTGCAAACAAAACAATGGAGAAGCAATACACAGTTAATTAACACGAAAGAAAACACTCAAAACATTAATTTAAAACAACTCCGGGAAAAAAACTAGTAATCAGATGAACTGAGACTACAAATGCATTGAGACTCTGAGAAACTTATTTCTTCTAAGGCATAAAACTTGACTATAAGTTGCATCTATGTCCTGTAGACACTTAAACTTGCATATAAAATTGAACAAATACACACACATGTAGGATGCAAAATTCCACAAATGATGCCAGGTATAAAGCGTGTTTGTCTACTTGTGCCTTTCTTGTAAGGTTTTTCTGTTTCAGTATTTCAGCCTTTTATTGCTATCCAACAGAAGTTGCTTATACTAACTAATTAGTAGAAATTGATTACCTCTTCTTCGTCAGCTCAGGGAAGATACATAGATGATATATGGACATGAAGTCTGTCCTCTCCTGTGAAATCTATTACATCTTTCTTTATCTTCATGGCTGAGTCTCTAAGCTCAAGCTCATTTTGAACCAACCGAATGGATTTTAAAGTGTCTATATAGCCAAATGCATAAGGGATCTCCATAAGCATGAAACAGTTCTCTACTATTAATTCCTCAAGCTTGGGAAAAGTTTCCCTATCAACTTCCCATTCTGATAATTCGGGACATGCCAAACGCAAAGTCTTAAGACTTTGATAGATGTCCTCACTTGCATCCCACTTATCCATCACGAAATTACAGTAGTTAATCTCCAGAATTTCAAGTTGAGGCAATGCCACAATTGCTGACAATAAAGCAGGTCTCATGGGAATATCAAACAACCGCAACTCTTTCAAGCCGGTAGGGAAGTGATATTCAATGGGATTACAAAAATAATACCGTGGTTTGTGGTAGTTTAAAGAGAGCGACTGAAGTTTATTAAGGACATCAAACCTGGGAAACCAATCGCCGTGTTTAGGAGGACACTTGGGTACAATGATGGTGCAATCAAGGTGCTCAAGATTTGGGAACTTCTCTAGAGCATCATTAGTTCCTTGGGAATATGAGATATCAACTTTGGATAAAGTTTTCAGCTTTGAATTCTCACCTTCCAATAGTCTAATATTGTCCTCTTCCTCTTCATCAAAGAAAGAACTCAGGCAAACGCTTGCATATTTCAGCTTTGACAGTTTTAATATTCTGGGCAGTAATACAAAGGGGGAGAATCCTGGATTAATCAACAGCGTTTCCAGATTCTGGAGGTTCACCCACGACTCTGGGATGGCTTTCATATCAGTCTTAATGCTTAAGAACCTCAAATGAAATAGGGACCCTATTTCTTTCATTAAAGAATCTTCAAAGACAATAAAGTCATCCAGTTGTAACACTTTAAGAAGTCTCAACTGTCTAGTGTGATGGATATACCTGTATTTATAGACAGAACTCCTCACTCTCAAAGATAAGAGATACTTACTAACAGCTGAACACTTAATAAACTTGCACAAAACACATTTATTGCAGAGCTCGCCCTCGTAATCAGTATAAATGGTTAGACGATGGTGTAGCAAATCCGAAGCATGATCACCTGAATTGATTAACTTGAAAAACTTTTCATTTTCCGCTTTTACTGAGACAAAATCATGCACAACATCATGCATATAGCAAACCTTGATCATTGTAGACGTCCACCAAATACTCTCGGAGGGGATATGATCCACCATTATCAGGTTACTGGAAATTAAAGCATCCAAGTAACTTTGAGTTACTTCCTCTAAACTATCATGATCCACAAACCCTTCGGCCATCCACAACTGCATCAATGTAGAGACTGGAGTTCGTTGGCTCTTTTGAGTTGTCGCAAAGTAAAGCAGCAACGGCTTCAGGTGGCATGGTAAATGGTCATAACTTAACTGCATAACCAAACTGATGTTGGTAGAAATAAAGGAATCCAGATTATGCAG